TATTTATGAAATAAGAGCTAACCAATTATAAAATCAACAATAAGAGAAACATAAAATAATGAAGTAATTTTAGCGCAAATTGTTTTGAAAATATTTAAAAAAATAAAAATAAATTTTAGTTCGTGAATGCAAACTTAAGACTTGGGATAGTTGATAAATGCTTTACAATTAACTTATGGTACATCATAAGAAAGTGTGAACACTGGAGAAGCATTATTAAAATAGGCTTCTATGCAACCATTGTAATAAAATCCTCTAAATAATTAGATATGCAATTTCTTTACTTAAGATTGTTGATGACTAGACTTAATAAGACGTTGTTAGACAAAGTGCAGTAGTCAATTTAAAGACTTTTTTGGAGAGACATTGGGGAGAAAAGAAAGAACCTGGACATTTTATAGTAAATCCTGAAGAAAAGGCTTTAATTAGAGCTGCAATTATAGATGCTTTAGCAAGGTTAGTCATAAATTACAATTGTATATAGATGTATATAAGTTAAGAAGTTAAGATCATAATATGAAGACTTAATATACAAATTAGTAGCCATTGATTTTCCTAAAGATTGGCCATAATTAGTGCAATAATTAGTTATAAAATTATAGAACTATACATCATATGAAGATTTATGGAGTGCATTATTAACATTACGTAGAACATGTGAAGTTCATTAATTTTTATTGGATAATGATCGTAAACCATTAGAACCATTAGTGGCATCAACATTTCCACTTTTAGAGACTTTGATTTAAAAATTCTTAGAAAATTATAATGAATAAAGTGGTTAATTGGTTAAAGTCATTTTGAAAATATTTCATCATGCTACTCATTTAGTGATGCCAATATATATGAGAGATTTTAATGCAGTTGCAAAATGGATGTTATTTTTTAAGACAATCATATCTTCTCCAACTCCTCCAGAATTGGCATCTTATACTCAAGATTCTGAAGAGGAAACAAGAAGAGAAAAAACATACATATGGACAAATAAAAAATGGGCTAGTAGAATTATATTAAGATTTATTCAAAAATTTGCAAATAAAAAGATGGTTGATCCTGATATGGCTGATTTTGCAGAACATATTAAGAGTACTTATGCTATTGGATTTATGGAATTGTTTTATAAAATTCTTACTGATAATACATAATTCTAAGGACCTAGAACATGTTTATTTGCACTTAAATATTTATATTATTCTCTTAAATTAGATAATACCAAAGAATTATTAAAAGCACATTATGATAAATTAATTTATCATGTTGCTATACCTAAAATGTAATTGACTCCTAGAGATGATGAATTATGGAAGAATGATCCTGAAGAATATATCAAAAGATTAGATGATTTTTCTCTTTCAACTTATAATATGAAAAATCCAGCAAATGATCTTTTATAAGAAATTTGTTTATAAACTGATGCAAATGGTAATTTGATGCTAATATAATTTCTTAATTATTGTTAAAATGCCTTTAATTCTAATTTAGATCCATTGACTAATCAACCTTTAAATTTACTTAAAAAGGAAGCTTTACTTTGGGGAATTGAATGTTTAGTTCATTAAATTTCTAAAATTGATGCTATTAAAGAAGGATTGGAATCAATTTTAGAAAAACATATATTGCCTGAATTTTAGAATCCAGTTGGATTTTTAAGAGCACGTGCTTGTCATGTTTTTAATGAATATGGAACAATTGAATTTAAAAATAAATAGAATATATAATTAGCAGTATAAGGAATATCTAAATGTATTTTAGATAAAGAATTACCAGTAAGAGTAGCAGCAGCTATATCTTTTAGTTCAATATTATAAAATAAAGAAGCTTAGGATTTGATTAGACCTTAATTAAGTTAAGTATTAGAAATTTATATTAAATTGATGGATTTGATAGACAATGAGAGAATTGTTAGATCATTGGAAGAAATAGTTAAAAATTTTACTAATGAAATTACACCATATGCACATTAATTAGCTGCACATATTGCAACAATATTTTAAAAATATTGTAATAAATAAAATTAAGGTGATGGTGATTCAGATGATGATGGAGAAGCTGAATTAGCAGCTTCTGGATGTCTAGAAGCAATAAAGAGAATTTTAAATGCACCACTTTAATAAGAATCTTATGTTTAATTAGAGCCAGTCATATTTCCAATTATTAACTTTGCTTTGACTGAGTCAGGATGTGATTTTATAAATGAAGCATTGGAAATATTAAATTTAATGCTCTATAAGAAAAAATAATTAACACCAGGATTATGGTTTTATTATCCAGTGTTATGTTATATAATTATTGGATTACCATAAGAAACAAATGTATATGCAATTTAAGGATTAACAGAAGAATAATATATCTTATTGGAAGGATGTAAGAAAGATTGGGGAAGTGAATTTGTTACTTAAATGTTGGGATCATTTAGAAATTATATTTAAAAAGGTGGAAGTACATTTTTGACTTAAAATGATTTCTTTGGAAATTCATTTATTTCATTAATTTTCAGATTTATATAAAAGATATATACAATAGCTGATAATGGTTCAGATGAAACTGATTAAAATCAAGTGACTACAATATTGATAGCATTAATTGAGAATTTCCCAGGATAAATAGATAATTTAATTCCTCAAATTATAGATTTCTCATTATTAAACATATAAGTATATATAATTTTATATTATATTTTTAGAAAGAAAAAAAGACTAATAAATTTAAGATGGTTAATATTGGTGTTTTGAATATGTGTATATGGTATAATCCATAACTTGCATAAAATTATTTGAATAGTAAAGGAATTACTGATTAAATATTATAAACTATATTGTCAATGGAAAAACACTATAAATATGAATGGGATATCAATAGATTAATCTTTGCTCTTTGTCAATTATATTCACTTCCTTAAATTCCTAATTATTTATTGACAGCATCTTCAGAAATAGGAAAATTATTTGTTAGATTATCAACTAAGATTTTAGAATTGAGAGAAGAGGAAGAATCTTGTGAATAAGAAGATTAAGCAGAAGAGGAAGTAGATGATCAAAAGAAATTAGCAGATAAGATTTAGGATTTGGAATAGGATGAAGAAGATGATGATGATGATGATGATTATGATGAAGATGAAGATGATTATGCTGAATTATATGACAGTCCTTTAGAAGATTATGATGCTATATTATTGATGGAGAAATTGATATTAACTCTACAATAAAGCTGTCCTTAATTATATTCTGGACTATTCTCATAATTAACTTAATAAGAGTAAGAATAGATGACTAAAAACATAAAAGAAGCCAAAGAATAATATGATGAATGGATGAAATAGAAATAGCAATAATAACTGAATAAATGATTGCTTATTTATATCATATATATATAATATCAGGCTGATGATTATCTTTATGAACAATCATTTCCTATATATCCTACCCAACATCTACAAGTGTTGTTGCTTATACAAACACCTCTATTACTACAATTATTAGGACAATATTATAATTGAGCACAGAATTTAGTTATATCTGGACATGTAATTGTACCATATTATTATCCTAATTTTACTGATACAACCTATCCACTTGTTGTACAAGTTATTGGTATTCCATCAACATTTACAATCACTTTCCCATTTATACATTAAGAACTATAACAACTACTTCTGGCTGTTGCAAATGCATTTTAAGCTAATGTTGTTATAAAACATTATGAATTCATTCCAATTGATCCTCCTGTTAATTTAGTTAATTTATCATTATAATCTGTTTTATATCTACAATCACTTTATTCTCTCCAATAATTACATCCTTAACTAAGTTGATCTCCAGTATAACAACCACTTATACTATTAAAATTATTAGAACAACCAGATTAATCTTTTACTTTACAAAATTCTTCATATACTACTGAACATGCACCTGTAGTCAATGTACAACCATCATCTTTACCCCATCCAAATATTTATGCATATGTATAATTTGGAAGATACCAACCTGTTCCTTCTAATAAAGCTAAAGTAAATTCAGAAATAACTTAATCTGGAAATGGATCACCTGTCATTATTTCATTACCAAATGTTACTCTCTCCCAATGAAATCCTGCTATATCTTAACCACCATTTTCTTCTAATAATGCACCTACTGCTGCATTACATGAAAAATATCTTTTCACTCTATCCAAAACAGGTGTTAATATCACATATTATCTATTCTTGAATGTTCTTATTACATTATCAATTCCTAAAACTTTATTATCTGTTGCATTCACATAATATGGATATAATACACTATTAAATCCAATCAGATGAATCAATTCATGTAATGTTTATTATAACCAATATTCCCATTCTTCATTATTATTTTTTTCAACGTTAACTTGATTGAATATTGCCAGATTTATCTATAATGTTCCTAATATTGGTCTATTAGTAACACTATCCAATTCACAAGATACTCCTCTTAACCACCAAGTCCCTTTTGGATCATTAGATGCAGCCATAAGAATTCCTAAATCAAATACTTATCCAGATTTTTATAAGTTTTAAACACTATATCCACCACATTTTTAACTTACAAAGGTATTAGATAATCTTGGATATACTTTTAAAGATGTCTATAAAAATGCTAAGGCTGGAGTCATAAGATATTCTTTAATGAAGGCTAATTAATTTTTCTTAATATATGGTTCCACATTTGAATAATCCACTTAAGTCCTTAATGGACCCCAATTTCCAACTAAATGTTACTTCAATATTGTTCTTTCATGATGTAATGTTGCTTCTACTGGTATTTCATTTCTTTGTGAAACAACTTATTCTCTTTGATAAGCTGAAACACTTTCATCAAGTATTTAAGTATTATTAATTGAAGAATAATAATAATAGGATGTTGTTAAGCCTGAAAGAATTAAAAATGTCACTCCAATCTTTATTAGAGTTGATAATAATATCATATTTAATTATATATTTAATTAAAAAAATGATTAAAGAAATTTATAAAGTATTGTTAAAATCATACCTTGTTCTCAAAGGTCAATTAATACTTTATTTAATTTGATTACTTTAAATTTTATGCAAATGTTTCCATAGTATATTCATTTGTTTATGTTTCTTCACAATATGTCATAATTTTAAATTTCTTCCAGTCATATTTGTCATTCACTTAAACCTATCTTGGTTCTTAATTATATTTCTAATTTCCTTAACTACAAAATGATTTTCTGTAATTTGAAATGATTGCTTTTGCTGAAGAATAATTTATACATAAGTCTTTTGAGGCCTAAATTTAATTTATTATATCAAACTTATCTAATTGTTTATCCATCTCTAATAACATTAATGATCAATTCATTTTTTAATTTATCTGTTAGTTTTGCATATCTCTTTTCAATGCATTTCCCAATCATTTTTTTCATCTCCTACTCCACTTGATTTTTTATTTCTTCTATAATCTTCATAACTAATCTGAATCACTGTAGACAGCGAAATAAATTTAAGATATTAATATTTATGATATATAATAATATTACGCATCATTAATGTATATTAATATAATCATCATCATTATACTTATATTCACATAAGTTTGAATATTTGATATCATGCTAAAATCCTTAACTTTTATTTTTATTCTAATATCATAAACTTAAAAATACATCCATAATTACATTCATTTAAATACTCAAAAATATTAATTCAGTTAAAAAATTGATTGATCTAAACTCATGTTAAATTATTTCAATTTGTTAACTTTTCAAAATCAAACATTAAACTTTTCCAAACAACCATATTTTAAGAATTATATCTATTCTATTCTTAAATATAATATACAATAAGATCGAATAGAATATAAAAAAACAAGAATTGATAGTTATTGAGAAAATGAAAATATTAAGATGAACAATCTTTTATTCATCCAATTAATAATTAAACAAATTAAATATTTTATATATTTCTATGTTATCACAATTATACTTTAAGTAACTTAGCTAAAGGAACTATAAATATATATATTTATACAATTTCATAAATAATGTTTTAATCTACTCATTATTTTTTCATTTGGTTTATATACAACATAATTCTAATCTACTTAATTCTATTATGCCTTTATAGGTTTATGTTTTTTTGGTTATTGCTTTTATTATTTTACTATTTATTTAGGCTTTTTAAGAATTTTCTTCTTAATTTGTCTCATCAATTTATGGGGTCTTCTATCTATTGTTGTTTCCTTTTCTATCTTAGGTTTTTCTTCTTTTTTTCTTTACTGCTATAGTTATTTTTGAACGAATTATTAGATAGCTTTAGATTACATATCTGAAATCCAGAAATAAAATAAATATATAATCAATAAATGAATTATTAAAGGGCCCTTTTAAGCTCAATAGATAATGCCTTCTTTATCATACCAGGAGGCAATTTTATTTTAAAATCTATTTCAGCATATGCTTAGACTCTTATTTCTTAATTTTGCATTTCTTCCAAAAGAAAACCACTTATATAAATTATTCCCCTTGTAGTTTATTAAGATTAATCAGAGTTAATTGAGCGCAGTACTTAGATATATTTATTTTAAGACAACTGCTTCTAATATTTGATGAAAACATATTCTCTAGATTCAACAAATTAAATTTTCTTGAAACTAGCATAAATTTGTTAGAATTCACTATTCGTCTACAATGTAGTAAATTAATCAATGTTAGTAAGATAAGTATAATTCAAAAAGTCATTTATTGATGTCTTCTTCATTCTGAATTCATATTTCACTTATATTACAGTGTATCTCTCTTCAAGTTTAAAACTCTTAAAAAGGATTTCAAGTTAATCATCCTTAAAAAGCTCCTCAAAATCTTTAGTTGTCTTTATTCTGTAAAGAAAGATATCAATCGATTAGTCTATAGTTTCTTATATATTGTCTGAAATTGCAAGAATTTGCTCCTCTGAATGTTCATGATAATTTTCTGACTCATCAATATTATCAACTTTTGTATAGGTTTCATCTTGTTAATGAATATCAATTTAAGGTAATTCTGACATATTCTTAATGTTTTGCCTTTAAACAAACTTTCTTAGGCAAGACAAACATTGATTACCCATAAATAATATTATTTAATCATAAAGTCTAATTTTATAACAATTCCTACTCCTAACATGAAAATCATTTAAAATCAAAAAAGAATATTATATGATATATAAGTAAAATATGCATATTTGAAATTCTTTTGATTAAATATCAATCTATAAAATACTCAACAACAACTTAATTTATAATATAATAAATAATATATGTTAGAAACATTTCATAAAAAGTTACTACTATATTAAAACATTATACATTAAATAATAAAAAGAAAACTTGATCAGTCCTAATTAAATCTATATAAAATTTGTACAAAATTATATAAAAAAAATAAATTTAAAAATCTTCAATAAGATCTTAAAAATATATAAGAGATTGGTTAGATTAATCTATATTATTAATGAATTAACAAATTTGAATTCTATATTAGTATTACATAATAATATTTTAATAAAATTATATTATGATGTACTTAAATAAAGATTTTTTTAAACTCTAATACTAATTTTTTCATAAATAAATATATATGGAATATTAAGTATAAGCAACAAAATAGAATCTAATCCTAATATTTTATAATTATAGATATATTATGGAAACAGATTATATTGAAATTAATTACTATAGAATAGATACTTATCATGGAAAGGTTCTTTCAATTAATGAAATTATATAAATTGTTTATACAAATTAAGATGGTGATTAATCAAAAATCTTGAAAAAAGGGATTATTTTAAATGGTTAAAAAAATTGATTAAGACATAAATAGAACTTGAAATTTTATTACTTATAATAAGTTATTTTTAATTTATGTCAATAAAGAGAATATTTTTTTGAATTTATATACTAATAATAAGAAAATTAAATAATTTTTTAATTCCAAATTTAAATATATATATAAATTCTAAAAAATTATTCTTTGAACATTATTTCACTTATATTTTGTTACGGGAATTTCTATACACAATTTTGAATATAAGTTTGTACTCTACCTCCTAAAAATTAATAAGACAAAAAGAAATCTAATATATTTCCTAATAATAACAAATTATTTATTTTATTTTCATTGCCTAGATAGTAATTTCGTTTTAAACAATAAAATTAAAATTAAGTATTATTTTTTATTAACAATGAGATAAACAATAATTATAACCATTTTTGGAACAATAAAGGTTCATAATTATTTAATTAAGAATTAAATAAAGGTCAAATATAGTGTTAATAAGTTAATCTTAAGAATAATAATGAATTTTTAAAAACAGACTTTGTCTAAAGTTGTTTAAATTTAAATTTTAGAATACATTCTATATTAAAAGTGATTTAGTTTTCCTTACAATTATTGAAATTTTATAACTATGAAATACTTTATTAATTCATAGTTATTTATTTTAATAAATTTATTTAAATTACATGACTATATTATAAATAATATTAGAAATAATAAAATAATTAAGAATAAACTTAATAGAAATGAATGATTAAAAGAATTAAGCATATTTGATGATCACCATGAAAATATTAAATTAATTAATCATATAATAAACAAAATTAAACATGAGCATGTAATTTATAGTAAAGATAATAATAAGGCTAAAGTGGGATCTAAACTATTATCACATTCTTATTTATTAAAAATTTTTACCTTAATTAGTTTGAATTTATTGCTCAATACAAATTTATGAAGATTTATATACAAATACAGCCTAACTTAATAAAATGTATATTGTTCCGACTGTCCAAAATATGTGATATGTCATTAAATTAAAAATAAATAGAGTGGTTAGACTTAAACATAGAAATATTATTACCTGCAATATCTGTAATTTGAAATCGAAATCAAATCAATAATGCTCACTTTTAAATTACCAAATAAATAAAACATAATTCTCATAAAAATCACCTCAATAAATGAAATTATAAGACATTTCCAAAAAGAATTGATCATATATATTGAAATATATTATTAGGTAGCATTGTTTATTCCAATATTTAAACATTGTAATAAAACTAAAGTAATCAATCCCATTAAAGGTAAATATAGATCGGGAGCTTATAAATTTTTGGTTTTTAAAAAGTTCTATGTCTCATTACCTACATAATACAAATTGATTATAATACTTAATGTCCAATCTCCTCTATAAATAATTGGGGCATGTAATAATATTAGTTTTTGTTTTATATATTCATTATCAACATCAAAATAATATCTATATTAACTACTAAAAAGAGAGCTTATGAAATTATCATATTTTCTTCCGAATACTGCTATTTTTCTTTCGTATTTAATTTCTATTACTTTCCAATATTAGAGGCTGTTTCCTCAAATTAAGGATTTCCAATTCGAGATTGAAACGATTTATTTTGGTCAATAGGCATCATAATAAAATCTAATGGATCTGTAATAGGAATAAGTTCTGGTTTCATTAATAAAGTGATTTCTAGAAATCTTTATTATATTATTTATTTATACTTGCTTAAACATATATGATACAACAATATAGAGGAAGTAGTCAACCACCACGATCAAATCAGATCTAAAATTATGTATTATATCATTTTTTAATAAAGTCTAACTAAAACAATTAGTAATTGGCTCCTTTTAATATGTTCTAAGAATTTGATTCTATGTCTAACAAGATGATGCAACATATGGATCGTTAATTGGCTAACTTAGGATTTGGATCGGTTTTTAGAGGTTTTGATGACCTAGAAAATGAAATGATGGAATTCTCGAATCTTCATCGACATATGACAGGTTTAAACTAAAGAGATGTTAACTAACATTCAAAAGACGGAGTGTTCTAGGTATACTCATCTAGTTATGTTTAATCATCTAAAATGGGTCCAGATGGAAGAGTAATTTAAGAAAAATATTTTGATAATAATGCTGTGGCTAGAGGGGTTAATGGTCATACTGTATATTATTATAATTTAAATTAGATAAGTGAAAGATAACAAGGATATAAGAATAGTGATGGAATAGATAGATTTGGACATGAAAGAATGATGAATGATAAAGGCAGAAAGCATGTAAGAGAAAGAGATAGAACAGGTTAAATTACTACTACAAACCATTATTTGAATATGGATGAAAATTAAGTTGAACAATTTGAAAATGAATGGTTAGGAATGGGAAGAAATTTAGGAATAAATGGACCTTCAGGAGGTTTAAGAATCTTATAAGGTTAACCAAATATGAGAGATCTTAATAATCATCCTTTCCCAAGAGAACAAATCACATATGATACTCCTAGTTATCCTAGAAAAAGTATTTTATTTTAATAGAATAAAATTAGATGATATCTAACCAATTATGTTGGGAAATAATAATAGTAGTTATAATAACAATCCAACTCGATTGGCTTTACCATAACAATA